TGTTATTTCCTTCTTTATGCTAACTTTATTTTTTAGTTTATTCTTTTTCTAGTTCTTTGAGGTGTAAAGTTACATTGCTTATTTAAAATTTTTTCCCTCTTCTTATTGTAGGCATAATCTCTGTAAACTTCCCCCTTAGAATTGCTTTTGCTGCATCCCATAAGTTTTGGTATATAGTGTTTCCATTTTTGTTTGTTTCAAGATATTCTTTGATTTCCCTTTCAATTTCTTTTTTGATCCAATGGTTGTTCAGGTGTGTGTTGCTTAATTTCCACATATTTGTGATTTTTCCAGTTTTCTTCCTGATATTAATGTTAGTTTCTTACCACTGTGGTCAGAAAATATACTGATATGATTTCAATCTTCTTAAATTTGTTATGACTTATTTTGTGACCTAACATACGATCTATCATGGAGAATGTTCTGTATGCACTTGAGAAGAATGTGTATTCTGCTGCTGTTGGATGAAATATTCTGTATATGTCTGTTAGGTTCATTTACTCTAAAGTGTAGTTCAAGTCCAGTGTTTCTTTAATGACTTTCTGTCTGGGTGATCTGTCCATTGGTGAAAATGGGGTATTGAAATCCCCTACTATTAGTGTATAGTTATCTATTTCTCCTTTTAGAAATGTTAATATTTATTTATTTTGGTGCTCTGATATTGGGTGCATATATTTTTATAATTGTTATACCCTTTTAATGATTTGACCTCTTTATCATTATATAATGACTTTCTTTGTTTCTTGTTACAGTTTTTGAAATAAAACCTATTTTATCTAAGTTTAGCTACCTCTACTCTCTTTGGGTTTCCATTTGCATGGACTATCACTTTCCATCCCTTCACTTTTAGCCTATGTGTGTCCTTAAAGTTGGAAGTAAAGTCTCTTGTGGACAGCACCTAGTTGGGTCTTGTTTTTTATCCAGTCATTCATTGTCTTTTGATTAGAGTATTTAATCTATTTATCTTTAAGGTAATTCTGGATAAGGACTTACTATTGCCATTTCATTAATTGTCTTCTGCCTATTTTGTAGTTTCTTTTTTCCTTTCTTCTTCTCTTGCTGACTGCTGTAATCAAAGTCTAAAATATTAGTTTACCTTCAGTGCTTTAAACACCCTAAGAATCAGATAAAACATACACAAAATGCTACATCTGTTACAAAACTGAGTACTCACTATAAAACTGACCCAACCCCTACACCTTGTTTCACATGAACCCCCTTCTTACTCATAGCCATAGTTCTTCCAAGTGTTTCTGAGCCTTCCTAGATTGTAATGACAGAGGAGAGGGTGGTCATGACTGGGGGGCAGGGAGGGCGTCCTGGCCCTGGGGAGGGGGCTGGGCTGGGGCTATCACATACACTGTCTCTCCTGATCCTGACAGGGTGAGAGTTGTCATGCCATTTCACAAAGAAGACATCAGGGCCACAGAGGTGGGGTAGCTTGCTCAGAGTTGAAGGTTTAAACTTGCAGGACATCAAAGCTGGCCTTTGGGTGACTAGGATGCAGTCCTGACCTCTTTGTAATTGTGGTCGTTCCAGGGAAAAGATCTAGAGACCATGTCCACTCTTGGGGTGGGTCTGGCCACAGAATGTTCCAGTTCATCATTGCGCAGGTCCCTCTGCCTGAGCTTGTTTTTTTTTTTTTTAAAGATTTTATTTATTTATTTGAGACAGAGAGAATGAGAGAGAGCACATGAGAGGGGGGAGGGTCAGAGGGAGAAGCAGGCCCCCCGCCGAGCAGGGAGCCCGATGCGGGACTCGATCCAGGGACTCCAGGATCATGACCTGAGCCGAAGGCAGTCGCTTAACCAACTGAGCCACCCAGGCGCCCTCTGCCTGAGCTTGTTAAGGACAGCCTGAGAGCATCACTTGTTTGCCTAGGGGCTCGGGCTGTGCTAGTGGAAGATACACCCGAACATTTAGGAATCACACTGGGCTGCTAGTAGTGGAGAGCTGGAAAATACTGGTTTAAACAAGGAAGTGATTTCCTGGTCCATGAGGCAATGAGGAGACTGGAGGTCAGCATCCAGGGCTGGCATGGAGGGCTGCCTCTCCATCACTGTTCCAAGGTCTTCCTGGCATCCCTAGAAGGCCCTGCCCTCATGCTCTGTTGAGGACCGGGGAGGCAGGGGCAGGGCTGAAGGGGCTCCCACTGAGTCAGCCCTTTGATGGTGCTTCCCTGAAGCTGTCCTCAGCCATCTCCACATCATCCCTGGCTGAGCTCCATCCCAGGCCCACCCCTCCCTGTAAGGGAGGCTGAGAAATGATGCACCAACAAAAGCAGGGCCTGTTACTGAGCAGTTTCTGCCAGTGGTTCTCTAAGGGCTATTTTACTTAACTGCCCCCACCTCCCCGCCCCTATTTCCTTCAAGGCTGCTCCATTCTGCCCAGGATGGGAAATATCACTAGGCACTCAGGGAGGCAGAGGGTTTGAGGCCCCAGGCCCTGACAAGCCAGAAGCTGTGGCTTCTTCCGGGGCATCAGTCTGCCGGCATCTAGAGGGGGTTCACGATGCTGTTTTTCTGTAGCCTTAGTGGGGGGATTTTGTGTCCCCATGCCTCCTTGGAGGTTTAGCAGATACTTTCTGCAAGAGGAACAGCAGAGAAAGCAGGACCCATTCCCATTGTCTGAGGGGCTGTGCAGGGAGGTGGGGTCTAGTGCACCTCCAGGTAGGGGCATTGCAGAGACTCCGAGTAATCGGTGGCCCTGGAAGATGGTGACCAGCCGGTGACCGGTCGTAAGAAAAGCTGCTGCTTTCCCTGGTGCAGGGTGGTGGCAGGAGGTGGGAGGAGGCTGGGTGTTCATCTGCTGGGGGCGGGGGGTGTTGACCCGGCAGCTGGGCTGCACGTGTTCACAATACCAGGGCAAGGGCAGACCAGGGTCAGAGTCCATTGTCCTTTGTCAACTGTCCCCAGTCCCTCCCACCTGTCTTCCTCAGCCTGGGATTCTCTGCCTACATCCCAAAGACAGCCAGGGGTGGGGGTGGGGTTTCTGCTTGAGCCATGCCATGAGGTCAGACGGATGTGACAGATTATTGGCCCCGCCCCTGGGTCTGATACCCTCCATGGGCACTTCCCATGACCTCTGCACACCAAGGCCAAGGTGTGTCCTTCCTGGGGTCCAGGGGAGAAGTCCCCTCCCAGCCTGGCTTACCATCATGGAAAGGCTTATATATAATTCAAATAGTGCAGCGAGGAAAGTATAAAGCAAAACCTAAGGACCTTCCACTCTACGCCAGCCTTCAATTCTCCTTCCCAGAGGCAACCAATGTCTACCAGACTCTTGGGCATCCTTTGGGATATTTCCCCTGTGCGTGCCTGCGGAGCTGTACAACATTTTTCACTCAAATAGTAACTCTAGACACACCACACTGTGAGTTGCTTTTTAGGAAAACAATGCATTTATTATACCCCGGAGATCATGTCGGAGCAGGACCGTTAGCACCGCCCCCTTCTCTGACCGGCTGCAGAGTACGGCAGGGTTGGAGGTTCAGGCATTTTTTACTTTCCTCCTGCTAGAGGTTTAGGTCGTTTCCTGTTTGGGGCCACTTATAGGCGATGCCGCAATGACATTCTTGTTCTGCTGCATTGGGCCCTTTCACGGGAAGTTCAGGATCAAATGCTTAAGTGGGCCTGCTAACTCTAAGGGGTGGCCCAGCTGTCGGTTAACTCCCCTTTAGCCCACTTTGCACTCAGTGAAGTGGTTTTTAAAGACAATTAGGTCATCAAACATCCCTGCTTAAAACTACCAGTAGCTTTGATGGAGATCCATGCCTACAAAGCCCAAAGCCATGCCTAGCGGGCCTCTGAGCTCCCCCTTCTTCCAAACGCTCCAGTCCCACCAGCTCTTCATCTGTCCTTCTAGCACAGCAGCTCATTCCCGCCACAGGGCCTTTGCACATGTGGATCTTCCAACGTGGTGCCTTCAGGTCTCCGCAGGAGTGCCAACATGAGGATAGTAAATGACATTTTGTTGCTGTCCTCATGACTACTTCCTAACTGTTGGGTGAGGTTGAGTGCTATTTATGTCCTCTACCTGTTTTCCTTTTGTGTTTTCTCTTTCTTATCGATAGGCACGAACTCTCTGTATATAAGATAAATTAGCTGTTTTTTCTCTCATTTGTCACCAATATTTTTTTCCCAGTTGACTGTCTTTTGACTTTGTGGTAGTTTTTCCATTTAAGTTTCTAATTTTTATGTAGTGAAACCATTTCCTGCATGGTTTCTTTTTTTTTTTTTTTTAAGATTTTATTTATTTGTGAGAGAGAGAATGAGAGACAGAGAGCATGAGAGGGAGGAGGGTCAGAGGGAGAAGCAGACTCCCTGCTGAGCAGGGAGCCTGACGTGGGACTCGATCCCGGGACTCCGGGATCATGACCTGAGCCGAAGGCAGTCGCTCAACCAACTGAGCCACCCAGGCGCCCCTCCTGCATGGTTTCTAACTTTTGTGAAGAGCTGCCCTAAGCCGGCTCCGTGAGGCCGTGGGCTAAAGGCCTGGCCGCTCCTCACAGCAGCTTGGGCCTCATGCTGGGAGGAGGCCAGGTCAGAAATGTGGGTTAGGACGGGATCGTGGGGGCCCTGAGCATCAGCCTAGCAGTCTGGCTTCAGGTTGTAGAGGGCGGGATGGGGGCAGGAGAAAGACAGGACCCGGTTTGCATTTGGGGGGCAACTGGGCAGCTATGGGGTGCTGGGATGGCAAGGGAAGGAGAGCGGTGAGCACCAAGGCCCAGCTGAGGGACCGGGGCAGGACGTGGCGGTGACAGGGGCAGGAGGCACAGGCCCGGAGCCCCTGTTGGACTCGATGCCCAGGCCAGCGAAAGGAAGTGGGGCAGCTGAGGCTGACAGAGCAGCTGTCTTTGCTCACAGAAGCTGCTAGGGGGCTGCTTGCATGGGGGCAGCTGTGGTCAAGGGGGGGCTGCCCATTCCACCCCGGCCGCGAGTGGGCCTGGGTCGGATAGAGCCTGTCCCTAACTACTCACTCTACAGACACAGACTGTGACATCATTCTCAAGAGAATCCGTTTATTTTCAGATAAAAGGAACCACATTTGCCCGCATATCCCAGCCAATCTTAAGTTTGATTTTTATAACTTAATTTTAGGAAAAGGTCAACAACTTGAACTGGAGTATGACCTCATGTTCACACCGCCGTTCTGGGGTCAGCAGCCTTAAGTGATTCCTCTTGGGAACCATGTGGTACGTGTGCATGTGTGTGTGCGTAATTTATAAAAACGGTCGTTGTCAGACCCATAAACCCCCCATTAACAATTTTGCTCTTTAGACTTTGCTGTACATGTGTGTAGTCAATGCTGATGCATAATTTGGTAGAAGCCCCATACGATGTGATTTCACAACCGGGGCCTAACCACTGAGCTATTACTTAATTTGTTAAAGTGATAAACAAGATTATTATGTGCAAACAGACAGGGCTTGTGCTTCAGCTGTGTCCAAGTTTACTTTACAAAGCTATAAACACACGGCCCTTTCTTAAGTCCTGATGATTGAGTTTCCCCTGCCTTTTGTCGGCGGGAGAAGAATGTAGAGGCTGAGTGGGTGCTCTGAGCCCTGCGTTAGCTCTTGGCTTTCCGGCTGGGTCACTTAAAGGAACTCATTCATTCCCCCAGACTGGGCAGCGCTCCTCCCCGACGGTCCTTCTGAGGGCTCCTCACACAGAGACTTTCCTAAGCGGGAGACATCTGATCTCAGCTTGCCCAAGCGCGGCCCTGGGGCACTGGAGCCCCCAGGGGCTTGTGAAATGTGCTGAGAGCCTGGAGGCCACTCGGGGAAGGGGCAGAGGTCACGGCCCCCTCCTCCCCTGCCCCGAACTGCTCCCCAGCTGAGAGCCTCTAGTGTAATGCCTCCCAGACCTAGGGAGGGAACTGTGCCATGAAGACCCAGCCCCGCTTTGTGTGACCCAGTGTGGAGCGGGATCCCCGTCCCCTGCTCCTGGAAGTGGGTGGAGGAGGCAGGGGGAGTTGCTCCCAACTGGGCCCCACCGTCTTCTCTTGGGTTGTAAAACCAGCAATGGGAGAATGGAGGTAGGCAGCTAACTCTGCTCTGGAGAACCGGGGAGCCCCCCAGACCACGGCCAGGGTGGTAACTTCTCGGCACTTCTAGCAGCAAGTGGTTCATGGGCGAACCCACTCCATCTTCTGGGTCCTCAGGGGGGCGGCAGGCTGCAGGCAGGGGGGTCAAGCCACTGACCCGGGGCAGCCGGGTCTCCACGACTGTCATTCCACAGGAATCACCTTCTCTTCCGCATGCAAGCCTCCAGTCGGCCCAGCTCCTCGTAGGACTGGTAGAAAACGTCAAACTCCCTAGTGCCCCAGCCCCTCCAGACAGCTAGGCACCACTCCGTGTTTTCGTTCTCAAAGCCGCACACGACTGTGTCCTTTGCCACCACGGCTGCATCCACAAGCACCCTACAGAGAGAGGGAGGGGGGGTCTGAGAAAACCTGCAGGGGTCCCCACTTGGTCGGGGCCAGGCCTCTCAGTCTGCACCTTCTTGGGAGCCTGGCGTGGGGGGGAGCATCTGGACATCCTGGCCTGGCAACAGGGATGTGCTCTGATACACCTGCTTCCCCCGGGGGTCCTGCCTGTGGGCAGAGGCTTCCTAACTGAAGGAGAGCCTAGTGCATCCCTTCGTGGGCGTGGGGACCGTCTGTGAGGCACTCATTCCATGGAAGGCCACAGATGCTACGAGAACAGATGGCCTCCGTCACGGGACCCCGACCCCCAAGTGTCCAGAAAGCACCATCAACTCTGACTGCTGCTTGTCATCGGCCCCCAGTGGATCTGAAGCACCTACTCAGCTCCCTTGCCGTCAGCTCAGGCCCCGCTCTTCCTCCCACGCCATGTTCCCAGTGCTTTGGAAATGCAGGGCAGTAGGTCCGATGGAAACCCGTTCCAACGTGCCCTAACTGGAGGCATTTGTTTTTTTTGAAGCTGTGGATTGTTTTGCTGATCTGTGCACACACCACATGTTTCCTGCTGGGCCTTGGTCGGACCGGGCAGCCCATGTCCCAGCACTCCCCGCCTTGCCCCGGGGCCAGCACGCAAACCAGTATGACGTGCAGGGCCTCTGGCCACCTCGGGCCTTGCACACTACGGACACTCACTAGCTATCTGCCGCGGGAATAATGTCTCAGATGCACGGCCAAAAGCTGGTGGGATCAGGCTACGGCCCTCCCGTCAGCTGGCTGCCTGGGCTGCTTTCTCCCTACAAAGAGTGTGCCTGGCTCCCGGTAAACCTGCCTTTGGGGGCTGAATAGGAAAAACACCACCAGTGAAAAATTCAGGGACACTAATGATGGGCGATCTGAGGTCCACAGGCCTGGGCTCTACAGACCCGCCTCTTCCCCAGAACGCCCCCCCGCCCCGCCCCCAACCTGTGATCTGGTAACTACTTCAGCCCACAAACCCAGCCGGGGCTCAGCAAAAAACAAAAACAAAAAACCCAGATCGTGTTTCTGGAATCACTGGCAGAGCAGGGGTCCAGGGATCCGGTGACTCTTGGAGAACACTCGGTGCTTTCGGGCAAGGGAGGGGACCTGCCATAGGTGTTTCCTCTTTCACCGTCGTCCTACTCTGGGGCAAACAGGCCGAATGGGATTTCTCCATAAAGGAGATTTGCAGGATGGGGCTCAGTAGACCAAGTGAGGCGTGGATCCTGCTGGCTGCCAGGGGACACTGGGAACACCAGCCACTCATGCCCACAGCAATGCACCCTTTATCCGGATAGGCTGCCTTGCCCCAGAATGACCCGCACAGTGGAGTCTGGCCTGCCTCCTGGGAAGACCCCCCAACAGATGGGTATGGAGCCATGGCGGAGCCCGGGCTTGGGAGTGGTGGTGCGTGCTAGGTCTGTGGCTCCCCTAGGGGCTATATGGGCAGGTGGAGCACCCCAGCAAGGGCCCTCCTGCTCGGTGGGAAGGACAGTGAATCACCCGGCTCCCCGTTTCAATTGCAGCTGGACTCCGGCCCTGGAGACATATACCCCAGGCAGGACACTCGGTCCACAGGTGCACTGGGAACCCCAGAAACAGCCTGCCATGACCCGTGGCTGATGCCCAGTTCCGCTGGTATTTGCTGAGCCCCGAGGAGCTGCCTGGAGGACCCCATCTTGTTCCTTCTCTGCCTTATGGCCACTGTGGCATTTATCTGTGGAGGACAGAAGCGCGAGAAGCCACTGTGCTGGGGGCGGGGCGCGGGTGGCCTGGCGGAGGGGCCTCGATTTCCCACACCACAGCTCAGGGCCTAAAGGAGGCGCCCCCAGGCTTACCCATGCGGAGTCAGCTCCCGGGCTTTTAAGACGGCGATGACGCGGCCCCGCTGGCTGCCGGCCTCCTTCTCCAGGCTAATGACAATAACGTCGCCCCCGCGCCTGCGAAACCAAAACCGAGAAGGGGAAGCGTTTGTCCAGGGCCCTGCTCCCCAGGGCACATGGAGCTGGCGGGCACTGAGGCAAGGCAACCAGCCTGCCGACTCTGCGAGAGTGGATTGAGTTACTGGGAGGCCTCCGAAGCCGGCCCCCCCCCCCCCAAAGGCCTTTCCCAGGGGGAAACTGAATCACAGCTGCCCGGGGGTGGGGGTGGGGGTGAGGGGACTCCGCCTTGTGGTCCCGGGCGGGGGGTGGGGGGGTAGGAGGGAGGGAAGCAGGTGAGCGCGCTCACACCGGCCCTTCTCGGGTCTGCCGAAGCGATCCCTCCGGGCTCCAGCACAGGAGCGAGCCCCGCTCGCGGGAACCATACCTGGGGACCCAGATGACGTCTTTCACGGCTAGGATCCTCACGGCCTGCAGATGCTGGCTGAAAGCCTCCCCGTCCATGGGGGTCAGGTCGTGCTCAGACCTGTCGGAGCCCGCGGCGGGCTCATGCAGCCGGTCGGAGTCCTCGCAGTCGGTGGAGAAGGGCACGCTGGAAGAGCTTGCTGGGGAGCAGGGCAGGCTGGAGGAGGCCGCGGGGGCCCGGTGGGGAGAGGAGGGGGAGTAGGAGGACATGGAACAGTAGTCGGTCAGCGAGTCCTGGTGGGTCAGGATCTGCGTGCCCAGCTCCTCGCTGTACATGATGCTCACGTCCGCGATGGAGTCCCCCTCGGGCTCTTCAGAGCCAGCTGCGTGGCTGCCCAGGGACTCCGGGCCCAGTGGGTGCACAGGAAACATGTCTCTGAGCGGGCTGGGGTCCCCGCAGAAGTACCGGGCACACAGCTGGTAGGTGGCTGCGTGGTACATCACCAAGGAGTTGGCCCTGTCGTCCAGGCACCAGACGACCTCCTCCCCTCGGCACTCAGAGCTGCCCACGACCGAGGTGACCACCGAAGGGGCCGAGTAGGGCTCCAGCCTCCTGCTGATCTCCAGGGCTGCACAGTCGATGACCAGCAGGCCCGGCCCGTTGCTGTACCAGACCTCGGACCCGCTGTTGACCACCTCCATGGCCTTCACGGGGTAGGGGTTCTGCCGCGTGTCTTCATCTGGGATGCTGAACTTGGACCTGTTGGCCGTGTGTGAGCACAGGTAGGAGCAGCTGTGGTCCGGGGCACCCCGCACCACGGAAAACACCGCCACAAGCCCGTCATCCAGGCCTGCCAGCACCAGGTAGGAATTCTGCGGGGAGAAAGACAGGACGGCCTGTGAGGCTCACGCAGGCCAGGAGAGAAGCAGAGTGGGCACAAGACTCATGTCCGCACCGACACCAGCTCACCCAGAGGAGCAATGTTCCCAAAGAGGCGGGGGCCGCCAGCAGGACCCAAAGCAGGTGCAACTTAGGCCCAGAAGAGCCACCCACCCACCCTTCCTGCTGTGAGCAGGAGAGCAGCGTGCTGGGGAAGAGCGTGGCCCACTGGCACCTAGGGGAGGGGCCCTGCTCAGGCTGGCTTCTTGCAGTGTGATTGGGAGGCAGCCGCCTTCTCCCTCGGGTCACACCGGCCTCCTTCAGAGGCAGGACGTGGTTCCCTCCTTCCCGGGAGCTCTGCTTGTTACTGACGTGACAGCAGTCGTGGGTGGCGGGCAGGTGTGCTTGCCACCGCTGCCTGCCGCCCCCACCAGACAGGGGCTCCGTGACAGCAAGGTGCGGGCCTGCCGCACGGAAGGGCTGAGTCTCGTCCATCTCTGCGACTCCACCCGGCGTTCTGCACCAGCAGACGATGCGTGCCTGCTGAGCCTATGCTTGAAGAAATCGCTTCCAGCTTAACCCTCTCATGGAGGCGCTTCTTGGACCCTGTGCCTACACCCCCCGCTTACCACACCTACTCTGAAATGCCTAGCTGGCAGCGCAAGGGTCCTGGGGTCGCCCTCCGCCCCCGCAGTGAAGCATGCCATCTTCTATAGCCAAAGTTGCAGGGACGGTGCTGGGTGCTGGGCCCACCCCAGGCCCGGAAGAACATGACACCAAGCGTTATTTAAGGTCACTGCTGGCCAGAGCCCCTCAGCCAGGGCACCACCACCCGCACAATGCTCCCTGGAGCATCTCTGCAGAGCCAGGAATAGAGGGCAGCTTCGAAGCCCGGATGCCTGGCGAGGGCTGAGGTGGGGAAGGAGGAGTTCAGGAGAACAAAGCCGAAGCCCTGCCAGAGCGGGGACCCAGGCCTCGTGAGCAGCAGAAAGCCACCTTCCTGGGACCTGGAGCTGCTTGGGAACTGGGGAGGCCAGGCTGTCCAAGGTCACGAGCGAACCAGCTTCTAGCTCAACAGCAAGGTCAAGAAGCCCTAAGAACATTTATCAAAATCCATCCTCAGAATTTTAGGAAAGAAAGCAGCCAAAGCAAACAGAGGCAGCGTCTCTATCTGAACCCCGGCTCCGGGCCCCAGTCAGGGCGGTGAGCCCCATGGCCCGGTTGGGTGTGAACGTGCGCATGCAAGAATGCAGGGGCCTGCTGTCGTGGCCACGGGGCAGCACCCTGACAGGGAGGCTCCGCACAGAGCCGGCTTTATTCCCTCTGGTCATGCGGGTGGTGGTGCCCTGGCTCAGGGGCTCTGGCCAGCAGTGGCCTTAAATAACGCTTTGTGTCATGTTCTCCCGGGCTCTGGGGTGGACCGGGTCCCGAGCTGCCCAGCCTCGCCCGTGGGGCACGGTCCTAAACGACTCCAGGGTTGATTTCAGACTTTCTTTTTTTTTTTCCCTAAAAAAGGGTTCCTGAAAAGGCTCTAATGATGACCTGTCCCCCTAAGGCTGACTGTGACCTGACCCGGGCTTGGCGGTCCAAGAGGGCCTGGCTTTGCTCCCATTCCTCGTACCCCCTCCCTCCCCCAAGCTGAGGGTGGGGGCCCCCCCAACAGAAGAGGAAGGGAGAGTCAGACATCTGGGCACCCACCTCCCCTCTGACCTCACCTTTTTAATAATAGGCACTGCCAACAAGCAGGTGACGACCGCCGGGGTGTCCAAAGCCCGTTGGGGTGTGTTTAAGGGGCACATGCCCTTGAGGTTATAGATGTAGATCTTCTGGTCCTGCAGAGGAAGACGAGCCAACATGAGACCCAGGTTGGAACATGCCTGCCATTTTCTCCCAGGGTCCCTTCTGCCTTGGGAATCCCTTTGTGCCTTAGGAACCAACATGCGTTGGGGCTTTCTGGTTCGTCGTTTGCATATTCCTATGCTTTGTAGAGATGTTGAAAATGACAGAAGAATTTAAAGAAGAAACATAAAATCGCCCCTACCCCATTACTTAGAGGGTAGTTTTCACCTGGGTATTTGGGGCCCAGACTCCGTTTCCCCAGGGTGTTTGTGTGTGTGTCTCCGTGTTCCTGGCAAAAGTGGGACCACCTGACTGTGCTGTTTCCTCACTTTCCTCCTAACGATGCACGGCGGGTTCCCGTGAGGGAACCGTGTTTGAGCGCCTCCGCGCTGCCCATCGCCCAGGGGTGCCCACAACCTAATCTGCTGTCGGAGCTCAGACTGTTTCCAAGTTTTCACTACTGGGGGTTACACAGGGATGAGCATGCTTACAGACATGTCCGTCTGCTCTCCACTGTGTGTCTGGGCGGGCGGTACCATCTCCTGCCCCTGCCCCGCCCCCCACAGCTCTGGAGCTTTAGAGCATCCATTGGGGCAGCCTCTCTGGATTTCTCAGAAGACAGCTCCTTGGGCCTTCCGCTGACTTCCTTGACGTGAAGGCAAAATGCCTTCAGAGCTGAGTGGATTCGCTGGGTAGACCCGGCAGTGTTATGAGAAACCCAGTGGCTTTACCAGCCTAATGGGGTGCTCCTGCTGGGATCCTGCACCTGAGACTTCTCTCGACTGAGTCCCGATCACCTGCCAGGGACGAGGCAGGTTGTTGCCCCTGGGGACATGCTTCTGCTGCTTCACAGAGCTACTGGCACTGCTCTGGGGGTCTCACACGTGCGGGCTGGGGTTATCTGGTAATCACATGTACCTGGGCATGGTGTGTTCCTATTTGCTAAGTCTGGCGCCCCCGCGGACTGTGCCCTGTGTTGCCCACCTCGATGAGAGCCCTGCATGGAGGCGGTTACCTCGGTGGCTGTCCACAGAGAGTTCTGGACCTTGAGCTGGCAGCTTAGCTTCATTCCCGCACAGCTCATCCGCTGCACTTCCATAAGGCCCTTCTCCGTGTTCACCACGGTGTAGTTCCTAGAGTCGGCGACAATCGTGTGGTCAGTGCACGGTGGCCAGGGGCTGCCTCCCTTCTCTTGGCTTGGCCTGAGCAGCCTTGGAGGAGGACATCAGCTGCCTCGTCCACCCCCTCGAACCCAGGGTTGAATTTGGCCACGTTCTGAGAGAACCGAGGACCGTTCACGGCACTGGGCACAGGTGGATTCTGCCTCGGGCAACGAGAGGGCATTCCCAATGGGAAGAAAGGCTCTCTTCCGTCTGTGACGTTGGAGGGTCCAAGAAGTTGCCCCCCAGTGTGAAGAAGGGGCACAGTGGCCGCACCTCCACCAAAGCCTCTCACCCCTCCCACTGCCATATGTGCCTCACCCCAGGAACAGGGGAGCCCCTCAATATCTGAGTAGACAAGGTCAAGGTCAAAGATAGATGGGTTCATTTCAGAGTAGGCTGGGGTCCTCGAAACACATCCCCCAACACAAGTGCTCTGAGAACTAACAAGCTGTCGTTTATGAGGGCCGCTGTTTGCTCCCTGGAACTGGCCTTCCCTTAGCGTTTCTGTCCCCCCCACCCCGCCCCCGTCCCCCATGGGCATCCAGTGTCCTCACTGTCTGAGGTGGAGACTGAAGTTATTTACCCAGGTCACACACATCTTTTGCCCACACTTCCACGGGTCTTTATGTCTCTCAGTCTCTTGACTGGCTTCTCCCCTTCCCCTTTCTCTTTTTTCTCTGGTAGGTTATATGCTGAGGATTCTGGGGGTGTCCTGTGTGGTCCCCACATACCTGGGGTGCCATTTGCCTCATCCCCCTGCCCCAATCTCGAGTCTTGATCAGATTCTGTTTGCTTTTTTTTTAAAGGTAAGAACATTTCCTCACTGGGGGATTGGGGGTGTGGATTTCTACTGGGAATGTCCCATTCTCACTCCTTTTGTGACCATGAATGATCACTGCCTTATACCCACTATTTCAGTAGAGATTGCAAAAGGCTGACATTCTATTTCTGGCATTCCCTCTTCATTTATTAGCTTCATTTATTCTAAAAAGAGAAACTTCCTCCTTTTCTCTCTTTTGCGACCTTGGGGTAGAGTTCACATAGGAAAGGCAGAATAAAACCTTGATTCTTTCTTATATACTAGTTTTCAAAATAATGGGTTGGTTCTCTAGGAGCCTTCAATGGTGATCAGTGAGGGGTTTTTGTTTTTAAGATTTCATTTATTTATTTATTTAGAGAGCATGAGCAGGGGGAGGCGCAGAGGGAGATGGAGAGAGACAGTCTCAGGCAGACTCCCCGCTGAACGTGAAGCCCGACGCAGGGCTTGATCTCAAGACCCCGAGATCATGACCTGAGCCAAAATCAAGAGTTGGACACTTAACTGAGCCACCCAGGCGCCCCAGTTTGTTTGTTTTTATTAAGTAGCATTAGAAACGCATGAATTTTAAAAATTTGATGTGTCTCAACCCACTGCAATTCTTCTTACTAATGGCCGACTGCCTTATCCTTGGCCAGTAGGAACCTCTCTGGGTTGACTCCTAAAACCCTTTAATCTACCCTCACGAGTATCTGATGGCATCCTTGATTCTGGTGTGTCAGATATTCTGGCTATCTTCCTGTCCCAGACCTGGAGTCATCCACTTCTCAAATAAGCCCTGGTTCCCTCTGGCACTTAGAGACCACCACCTGGGTCCCGGAGGTCATCACTTGTAGGCGGTCATTATTGTTAGGACTTTTCAACGGGCAGGACTAGGAAACACGAGTTTATTTTTCTTAAAGATAAAATCTATCATGAACCCAAAAATTTAAATTCAGAAGAAGTACAGGTTTTTTTTAATTTAACCTATCTTTCATACTTTGCATGCCAAATATCACAATGTGCAATGCCCGGCAATGTAATTACTGAAAACATATATATTTACATATATAAATATTAGTAAAAATAAATAAATATACACACGCACAAATATACATATTTCTTTAGGGCATGGTCTCTTAGACCATGTCTTATGTCAGAACACTCAGTCCCCGTGACTCTCGTGACTCTGAAGATGTCCCGCTAGGGGAGAGACCTCATACTCTGACCAGGACTGAAGGATCTCACCAGATGGGTTTTTGGAGATTGCAAAGTCTATCTTTCCAATACCCTGGCATCTTGGTTCTGTGACTTCCTGTTCGTTTCCCAGTGATCTTATTCCCACTTTACCCCAGCCACCCTCTCCCTAAGTTGCACATCGGATCCCGGCTTTACTAATATCTGCACCCCTCCCACCTACTCAGTGTCAAGGATCTATTTTCTGACCTCTACCTCTGAGTTTTCCAGAACATTCCACCTACTATCATAACTCAACACAGGGTTTTTGGTTTTGTTTACACTCTGCTAAGATCTAGGATTCTCTGGTACTTTCCATTGTTCCTTATCCACTTTATGACCCCACTTAGGTTCCATGATCCATCTCTGTCGTGACCCTCTTGAAAATACCTCCACCACCCATACCCTTCTCTCCCTCCTGCCAAAAACCCAACTCTGCTTAAAACCAACTGTTGCCTATCTTGCAATCTGCGGGCAGCAAACCGTGCTGGGGACACATAACCCTGTGGATGAGCCTCATTTCCAACACCTGACCTCCAACCTCCAGCGGGCCTCAGTGCTGTCCTGCAACCACCCTGGTCTCATGCGCTAGTGCTCATGTCACACGTCATCTTCTCGAATATTCAAAACCTCTCCCCATGCTTTCGTCCTTCCTGCCACTTCCCTGAGAAAAAGATGCGACTAGAAGGGAAGGCCCACAAATTCTCATGTAAGAGCCCTAATCCTGCTTGGCTCTGGGTCCCCCACCCCTCTCACTACTCAGCAACTCCACCCCAGTCACCGTCCTCTCTCCCTGACCCCCGGCATCATTTACTTCTTCTGCCATCAAGCTGCAAATAGCACCCATCTTAAAACAGAGTCCTTCCAGGATGGGAGAATTATTACAACTAATAAATGGCTTCAGAAAAGTTGCAGGGTACAAAATTCATATACAGGAACCTGTCGTGTTTCTACACACTAGCAGAAAGAAAAATTAAGAAAACAATTGCATTTACAGTTGCACCAAAAAGAATAAAATATCTAGGAATACAATTAAACCAGGAGGTGAAAGGCCTGTACTCTGAAAACTTAAGACATTGATAAAGCAAACTGAAGAGGACACAAATAAATGGACACATGTATATGGACTAGTTGAATCAATATTGTTCCAGTGTCCACACTACCCAAAGCAATCTACAGATTCAATACAATCCCTATCAAAAAGAGCATCAGCATTTTTCATAGAACTAGAACAAATAATCTTAAAATTTGTATGGAGCCACAAAAGACTGCGAAAAGCCAAAGAAATCTTGAGACAGAAGACTAAAGCTGGAAGTACCACGGTCCCTGATTTTTAACTATACACAAGGCCACAGTAATCAAAACAGGAGGGTATGGGCACAAAAACAGACACATAGATCAACAGAACCAGAATAGAGAGCCCAGAAATAACCCCAAACTTACGTGGTCAATTCATCTATGACAAAGGAAGCAAGAATACACAATGAGCAGAAAGACAGTTTCTTCAATCAATGGTATTGGGAAAACTTGACAGTCACATGCAAAAGAATGAAACTGGACCACTTTCTTGCACCATACACAAAATAAACTCAAAGACCTAAAGGTGAGACCTGAAACCATAAAACTTCTAAAAGAAAACAGAGGCAGTAAACTCTTGGGCATCAAGCTTAGCAGTATTTTTTGGATCTGTCTCCTGAGGCAAGGGCAACAAAAGCAGAATTAAACAACTGGGACTACATCGAACTAAAAAGCTTTTGCACAGCAAAAGAGACCATCAGCAAAACGAAAAGGCGACCTACTGAATGGGAGATATTTGCAAATGATAAATCTGATATGGGGTTAATATCCAAAATATATAAAGAGCTTATACAACTCAGCACCAAGAAAACAATCGGATTAAAAAATGAGCGGAGGACTTCAAAAGACATTTTTTTCAAAGAAGACATCCAGATGGCCAACAGACACTTAAAAAGATGCTCAACATCACTGATCATCGGGGGAAAGCAAATCAAACCCACGATGAGATATCACCTCACACCTGTCAGAAGGGCTAGTATCAAAAAGACAAGAACCAACAAGTGTTGGAGGGGCTGTGGAGAAAAGGGAACCCTCGTGCACTCTGGGTGGGAGTATAAACTGGCGCTCCACTCTGGAAATCAGTACGGAGGTTCTTCAAAAAATTAAAAATAGAAATAGCGTATGATCCAGTAATTCCACTTTTGGGTATTTACCTGAAGAAAATGAAAACACTAATTTGAAAAGATATATGCATCGCAGGGCACCTGGGTGGCTCAGTCAGTTAAGCGTCTGCCTTCGGCTCAGGTCATGATCCGGGGGTCCTGGGATGGAGCCCGGCATCGGGCTCCCTGCTCAGCCGGGAGTCTGCTTCTCCCTCTGCCCCCCACCCCCCGTTCATGCGTGCTCTCTCTCTCAAATAAATTAAAAAGAAAAGAAAAGATATATGCATCCCCCTATGCTTATTGCAACTTTATTTACAGTAGCCAAATATGGAAGCAACCTAAGTGTCCATCCATATGGATAAAGATGTGGTACACACACACACGTAGAATATTACTCAGCCATAAAAAAGAATGACATCTTGGCCTTTGCAACAACATGGATGGACGTGGAGGTGTTATGCTAAGTGAAATAAGTCAGAGAAAGACAAACACCATATGATTTCAATTACATGTGGAATCTAAAAAACAAAAGAAAAAATAAAACAGAAACAGACTCATAAACACAGAGAACAAA